TCATGGAGAGTAAAAATGGGAGATTTTATCCAATAAAAATATTAGTATAGAGAAAAACATGAATTTGTAGGTATCAGTAAGTCACTGAAAGCAGACCTAATCACTTTCTAAATGCAAAAATGTCCTCTAAATCATTTTGTCTCTTAATTTTCTAATTTAAGTTCTCTTTTGATAATGCGCTTAGAGCTGATCATTGCACAATTAACTATCTTCTGGGAAAGCATCAGCTGCTAGGTGCCAGAGCTGGGTCAGTTTGTGTTCGTGACACAAATGCCGTAAATCTCTGAGGGAGATTTAAGGGGACAGGTTGATGGCTTCAAATATCTTAGAAGCTTTGGTGCTCTCAGGATTCAAATCTCCCTGAAGACACAGTTTTTTCATAAAACACACTGCAGAAAATTTAGATCCCGTCATCTGTTGTTAGGAAATGCTTCTGTGGCATTGCTGTTCTCAGCTAAGTGGTTTTTGGATCTAGGATTATGACTTCTGCCTTGGAAGGATTTTTTTTCTTAAGGTAGATATCCGTATATAACACTCTTAAGTATCACATTTTGGAGGACTTGATAGTATTAGAGAAAAAAAAAATTATGTATCTGTTTTGAAGGACTGTATGTTTCATATACATATAAACTGTATCTCACTAATTTCCCATATTTTCAACAGTTAAAAAAATCTGTATAAATCCCTTTTTACCATAATACTTTTCCCTTGCAGTCTCATCCGTTGTGTAGTCTGAGAGAACTAAGAAATGAATTGCCCTGCAAAGGGGCAGCTTGTTTTCTGTGCTCACTCTTAGCATGAATAATGGGATTCCTGAAAAAAACCCCACAAATCCAAGTGTTTCTGTATAGCCTGCTAATATTAAACGCTGCTCAGGTAACTATGCTTTGAAATAAGTGGATCAAATTCTCTGCAGAGTCTAATCCGGGCATGTGCTGCCACTGTTCAAAATGTACATGAGTTTGGAGAACCGCTTGTGGTGAATTCTTAAAAGAGGTGTGAATAGATTAGTAAAAATTTTTAAGGGTGAGTAGAATCATTTCTCGCCAGTCAAGTGATCTGGGACTTCTTTTAAAAGGTTTCATTATTAAATGCTTTGCTTAGATAAAAATAGAACACTGAAGATGCAATTTAAGAAAAAATATGATGTGTTAACAAAGCCATAATTAAATGCCAGACATGGGAGGTTTCTTCCTGAGAAGAGACCTTTGGTGCTGGGAGAGATCGAAGAGCTGCAGAGCTCTGCGCTGTCCCTGGCCATGGCCAGTGGCAGAGAGGACAGCACCTACAGCAGACAGAGACCTTCCCCAGGCATCTCCTCAGCTTTCACAACCATGACTTTCTGATTTAATCAGCAGTGGATCCACCCCTGTGAATTTGTCTAATCCCTTTTTGAATCCGTTCATTCTTCTGGCCCTGCAGAAGGTTGCCCCACCTTCTCCAAGCTGCAGATAGCGAGCTCATGGACTGCTTCGAACAGAGGCTGTTCTCTGCTTCTGACTGCCATGCTGTCTTTCTCTGAACCTTTGCTAGCTCAGTGCTATGATTTTTGAGTGGGGATACTGGAACTATCAGCAATACTCAGACTTTAGGTGCACAATAGTAACTAGCAATAGTATGTTTCATTTGCTATTCTTTTTCTAATCTTAAAATTCTATTTACTGTTTTACAAGTCTATGTTTTTGGAGAAGTAGGCACACTTATTTCAAGATCTCCTGAGTGGTAATAATTAATTTAGGACCCATCCCTGCTTAAGCCTAGGCAGGGTTATTTTTTCCCCATGTGCATCATCTTGCATTTCTTTTCATGAGATCTTGTCTGCCACTTCACTCAGCCCACTCGGTACTGACAGTTTTACAGCTCTTCCACTCCTGTTTTAGATGTGACCGTTCTGAACCATAAAAACTCTCCATTATGGAAATTCACAGTTCATTTCTACCTTTGTTCCTTAGCTTTTGCCTAATTAATCCCCTATGAGAGTGTCTCCTTATCCCTTCCCAGTAAGTATTTCACCACCGAGGCACTTAAAAATTAAAATTTTTCTAACATATTCTAACATGTTCATACTTTCATGAACAACCTGCATATCAGTTAACCTGCATCCCTTAGAAGCACTCATGCTTGTAAATAAATCCTTAAATAAATCCTCCCCTCCCAAGGCAGCAGCAGGGACCATGGTGGCCAGGATATTGTGGCTTAGGAGGCGACTCAGGCAGAGCTCCACTGGGGAGAGCAATCAGAGACCAGAAACTCTTTGGGATATTACTGGGAGAGAAGGAGCCAGGAGATAAACTTCTCCTCATATGACCTAGAAATGCACATAAACTAGCTTCTGCTGAATGGCTGTGAGTTTCGTTAGTAATTCACTGGATTTGCCCATAAAACCCCGATGTAGCACACCAATGGTCTCCTTTGCAGACTCTGATAGAGATTCAGGTTCCTTCTGCAAAAGCTTTCCACACCCGACTCTGCAGCAAGATCGTATGACAGCACATTGCACCAATACAACCTCAGAAGAGGAGCATTAAATCCTTAAAAACCAAAGTGCAGTAGAAAAGGTACCCTGACAGACACGAGCTTTGTTCTGAAGGTCACCTGTTGATCCTTTCATAGCACGGCAGGACAAAGGGAGTGCAGTGATACCAAAACATTTAGAGTAGATACCTTTATCGGAAAGGTAAAGGTCATTAGCCTTAAGAGGAAGGAAAAAGGAATACAAAGTTCCTCCTTTTTCTCCCTTCCTTCCCTTTTCTCAGGATTTGGAGCAGAATCGGACTGTCATGGCTCTCCCACCTCCAGCTTTGGTTTTATCAGACATCTCAAACATGGAGACATCTGCTCTATTCACTTGTCAGGTGCAAGAAGTCCAACAAAAATTGCTCTGGCAAATTAAAAGGATTTCCCACCCACCCACCCACCTACCCCCCTCACTACTGAAATGATGTCTATACTTAATTATTTAGCCTAGCAAAAACATCTTCTTTAGGGTTAGCAATGGCAAGCATGGGAATTTTAACTGTGGCAACTCAGCCATAATACTTCTTTCTTCCTACTAAATTTCTTGGTCTTTCATATAAGGCAGTCTCATTTTCGGATCTCCACTGAGGTGTAGTACAGACACGGTACTTTCAGACAGATCTTTTATTACATATACCAGAAACAGGCACGTTTTACTCTTAGCTTAAATGATTCTTGGTGATGCTTTAAGAATTGATTTTATGCGAAAGGCTCTGTGTGAATGTAAACTGTTTCAGTGTCAAGTTACTCTTTTACTTGTTTACTTACTGATAGGTATGCGTGGCAGTTATACGACTGCATCGAGCGCAAAATAAATGCAAGTTTTGTACAAAGTGTGGCTATTCATATTTAGTATATTTTAAAACATAGAAAGGTTTAGACATTGTGACATAAATTAGGTGCTTGTTTCCTAAGCAGCAAGACATTTCTGAAGTATACTAGTTATGTCCATATTACTAAAGCCATAATTTAATTTATATTCTTGCCTGAATAGTGCACAACAATGATAGTGGAAAAGAAGGATGCAGTTTGATTATGGTTTGCACTTCAGAGTACTCACTTATATTTTTAGTTCTCAGAAAATTAATTTTTAACACTGTAAACAACACTTGTGTCCATACTAAAAACAAAAGTCACTTTGAGGTATGTGTATTGTGACTTTGCAGGAGATGTGCAACCCGTGTTTGTCACCATCACCTTCAGGGAACGTTTATCAGAGGGCTGAGAAATTCGTTTTGCAGTGATGGAGTATTCTGAACACATCTCCTGTTAGAGCTTTGTTTTATATGAGCATTGATAGCCTAGATATTTCCAAAAAAAATGTTTGATTAATCTTTTCTTTCACCTTTTCCAAGTTCTCGTTAGAGATTAGAATTTTAAGGATATATTATTTAAAAAAAAAAGAAACACAACTGTTTCTGAACACCAGTTGCAGGTGGGTAGTGAGGCCAAGCAACTTTGTGCTAAGTTTGCCAAGACTGAAGTGTGGGGTTGGTGAGGGATACTCAGACACCATTAGGATATTAATAGAACATACAGTCAAATGTAATTGTGATAAGCATATTTATGAGTAGTAGAGAGAAAGAAAAATAGCATGCTCTTTGGGAAGCCTAGATAGAGAGAAGAGTCAGCTATAGTATATGCATTTAGTTAAAAACCGGAGGAGAACAGGGAAAAAACACTGGGGGAAAGATCAAGAGTAATATTTAGAAAATTCAATGGAAAATAAGGGAAAATACAGAACAAGAGAATGGATGGAGTACACAGAAAGGTGGAGAACCACAGAGAAGAGCAAAAGAAGAAGCAAAGTTGATCTGTAATGTTTTAGAGAGAATGGGAGGGGGTGGTGTCTATTTGATGTAGTAAATGTGTCTATGCACTCATAATTAACTGTAAATTCATGTAGGCATGTATCAATTAGAAAGCTGCACATCTCAATAAATCTTCAGTATGATTTCTATTTATCAATTAGCATATTTGAATGGAGGAGGAGAAAATTTAGTGAACCCTGGGCATTTTCAGTAATAACATCTATTTGTACATAAAATAAATCATGTTTGTAGTGCCTCTATTGCAATATACAAATAAAGAGATTCTGTAAAAAAGAGGTGGGAGGCAATTTATGACTACTACTTATTGTGCAAATTTATCCCCTTCACTGTTTTAATGCCTTATTGTTCTCCTGATCTGTTTATTATCTTGTTACGTGCCAGGTTTGCAAACTAGCTGAACCATAAACTGATTTTGGAATTCCTATGTATACGCCATGTATATATGCACATCTGGATTCTGAATTTTTAGTGAAATCTGTACTGTGTTAATGCAAATGACATTGTATAAGAATTTATATTCTTGTATGTTTATACACAAGCTGTTTTTTAATTCATATAGAACTTTCTTCCAAATGAACTGATTTTCTTTCGCTTGTGAACATCACCACTTGTTTCAGCATATGTTAACTGTGACTATTGTTCCTTGTCTAGCTGTACCCCATAAAATAGGGCGGATAATTGATGGAAGTCCTGCGGATCGCTGTGCAAAACTTAAAGTTGGAGACCGGATCTTAGCTGTGAATGGCCAGTCTATTATTAACATGCCTCATGCAGATATTGTGAAGCTAATTAAAGATGCAGGTCTCAGTGTAACTCTTCGCATCATTCCTCAGGAGGGTAAGTCAGTGGCCCTTAAAAACAGGAAGAAAATTTTAAGTAGCCTCCAATTAGCTTGAATTATGTCACCGCTTGAAAGAACATCTTTTGTTTTGCTTTCTCAGCTGTAACCTACAGCACACCAAAATTACAGCCTTAGAACCAGCTCGCATAATATCTGAATTCTTGAAAAGGTTTCTAGTTATGAAAAGTTATTTAAAGCAAAACTGAAGAAACCTGAGAGAGACCTGAGTACCTGAGTAACCATCAGTGTTAGTGTCTTTTGGAAGAATTTTCTTCTACATGGAAAAGCACCCTACAAGAGAGCCAGGTTTTGAGTTCGTTCCCTTATATCCTGCTACAAACCAAACCCAAGTTGGGCAAAGCAACTCACAAGAGACTGCAATGGCTGTCACCAGGCATGTTCAGCTACCTGTGACAAAAAGTGATGTGAAGGAAGAGTTCAGATTTGGTAGTTTCCTCCACTTATATCAGTACAAATGCACAAGGCAGGAAAGACCTGAACCCTAAATTATCTCATTTGTAAGGTGAGGATAAGGGGACAGACTCGTTATTCTGGTCATTACTCCACAGCTAATCAGTGAAGATCTTTCGAGGTTGGTTTCATGGGTTTTGGGGTTGATTTCAGGGCTTTTTTTAGTTTAGCGATGTGCTGTACTGGTGTATGAATTGTACTGTATTAATGAGACTGTGGCTTTATATCTCAGCGACAAATACCATTAGAGCTAGGAATGTCACACAGCAAATAATGTAATTACTTAATGATCCGTGCTCCAGTTAGACGACCTTCACCTACTGCTGCTGCATCCAGCAACAGGACAAGGAAATAGTCTGACACCGGCCATGGACTGCAACTGGGGGAACTTATCTACTGTGTTAAATTAATTCAGTGAAGGGAAAAACACAAACATACACAAGTTCAGAATTCACACCAAAGAGCGGCTGTATAATCACAGGAGGTCAGTTTTGCAAGCATCAACAAACAAGTGTGATGCTGCGTGCAGTCCGTGCAGTTTATTTAGGCCTCCCTGGTATCCAGATTAATTCATATTAGCAAATTGCTAATAGTTCAGTGTTAGAGATGGATACTTTAAATTAGAAAGAAAGCAGAGGTACATCTGAGATGCAATGCTACCAGATGTTCTTGCGTGCTAGGGGTGAGAAATGATTTGTGCCCAAGGCATGGCTTCCCTGTGTGACTGTGTCACACTGGACACCTCATTTGCCTTCTGATATTAGCTTCCCAGCTTATAAAATTAGGAAAAAATCTAATACCTCTGTAATGTACTTTCAGGTGAAAAATACCGTATAAATGCAAAACAGTTTTAGAAGCAGCTTATGATTTGACTAGTTCATCCATACCTATGAGAGTAATGTAGAAATGAGGGACAACATTCCCAATCTTGGTCTCTGAAACTTTGCAATACAAAGAGACTCACAGATGCAAAATGGACAATTAAAGCCTTAAGCATAGTAATTACACAGACAAGTATTGCTTATGCCTGCATGAGGAGTGTTTTAAGTGCAAATATACAAGCTTTTTTGACAATTAAGCCTAAATTGAAAAGATTTTTAATATAGTAGCAAAAATTTTTAAAATAATTATGAGCATAAATAAAATAAGTAGAGAGCCATTAGAAATGTGCAGTCATAGGGGACAAACTTACATGTTAAAAAATAAAAAATAAAATCATTCAAAATTCAAACTAGATTCAAATATAAGGCTAGGCACGATCTGGCTATTGCCAGCTACTGCTGTTAGGGATGCTCAGCCGTACACATGTCCATTCTGGATGCTTTGCACCACGCCACACTGGCCTCTCTCATTCTGTTGCAAGCAGAAATAAAGAAGTATAATGCGTACCTTTGCTGTTGATAATGCGTGAGCAATTACTTCTGCAGTGCCCTGTCCTCTTGTGGGTGGAGTCTCATTTACGCTTCTTAATGGGTAAATGATGAGCAACACAACTGTGCCAGCATGTCCAGAGAAATATATTCGATATTAGCTCAGTGCCAAATGTGCCTTCCCCCAAGTGCAGCGGGAAGCCTGAAGGAAGATTGGCATCCTTTATTTGTAACAAGGCCACAAGGCCACATTTCCTATCCCAGCCTGTCTGCCTTTTTGAATTTTATGGTGTTTGGAAAGAAGGATTCTGGTTTTCTGCAGTGTTCCTATGTGAAACCCTGGTCATTTGGCACAACACAGTGAAATAAAACATTGTTTTAGCTGGTTAGTCAGAATTTATTGAGATTGGTTTTACTGTTCACAGTCCCCAAAGATTTAAAAAAGACAGGAAACTCTTGTTGAGCTCAAAGACAGCAGGAGCTAACACAAGCACACCTGTGTTTTAGCTTTTGTGACGACAGTCTGTCATCCCATAACAGTGGTGAAAGCAATAAAATCGTTCATTCTCTCAAAATGAAAAGTTTTCAAGTATCAGTATTTCTAGGCTTTAAAAGAAAACATGAAATACAGAAGCCATTTGCCTTGTTCAGTTGGGTTTTAAATAATGGAGGTGTCAACTGGAGTTACAGAAGTGACCAAGATTTCAGATCCCACAGACCATCAAAAGCAGCCCATTAGGTGCAGATGTCTTAAAATCTAATTATAACCCAAGAGAGTAAAAGCGACAAAGCATAAATTTTCAGAGGTAGAGTGTGACCAAAAATGATTATTGTCTACCTTTGCCCTTTATTAAATGCCGTGCTGTGACAGGTCTTTAATCTCCAGCTTCCCATTACGCAGAGCTGAACAGCCCGGCCTCGGCCCCCAGCTCGGAGAAGCAGAGCCCCATGGCCCAGCAGCACAGCCCCATGGCCCAGCAGAGTCCCCTGGCGCAGCAGAGCCCCGTCGCCCAGCACAGCCCCGTCGCCCAGCCACCGCCTCCGCAGCCCCTCCAGCTGCAGGGACACGAAAACAGGTAAGAGGGGCTCTGCCAGCCCCTGCCTCCTGTGAGGACCGCGGGACACCCTTGTGCTGGGTCTTCATGCTGGTTCTAGCGGCTGGGGGCCCTCGCAAAATGTTGTGGGCCTCTAAAAAGCCACAGTCCCGCGATTGCGCTCGCAGAGCACTAATTGCGCATGCCAGGGTGATCTGTAAGTCTTGTTCAGGTATGGAACACATTATTATGAACAAGGGTCTCGCCAACCATCCTCAAACGTCCATCAGGATCGTATGTTTGCCAAGGAACAAAACACTGAAGTATTCCTTGCTAATAATTTCATTGCTAACATACTGCTTTCTTGTATCGCTACAACTTACAAAATACTGGTAATCAATATCTGATCGTGAGGTGGCCTTTTTTTCATTACCTTACATGTCTTTTTTTTTTTTTTTTTTTGGTCTATTAGAGTTCTGGAGTCAGGAAGATATTTTTTTATAGCAGGTTTTATCTATGGTGTATCATTTTCCAGCCAATTTCGCATGTGCAATTTATGCACATGCATTGACAAATTTATCTGTGATGGAAATTAAATTGTAGGGGGATAGAAATTTTGTGACCAGCTGTATTAAAAGCTGTATATATAAAAGGCATGCTCAGGCTGTGGGATGATAAAACTGTCTGTGATCTCCAATCAACACTATTTAGTCTTTGGATTAATTTTTGGCATGTTAAATGAGGCTGATTACACTGACTGTCTTTATGCTAATCTTCAGTAACCAACCTACCTCATCAAGATCCTCTTCCCCAAATAGTAGATGCTGGTTACAGGATTGTAACTTTTTGCTTCTGGAGATACTTGAGTTCAGTTTTGATTTAGACATTATGCCCTCTAATTCTTCTTGCTTAACAGATGTAGCACTTTCACTTGCCCGAAATTATTTTCTCTCGATTAGTCACATCATTGGCAAATTTCTCTGCCTTATATTTCATTGAGTACTTTTTCCAAAAGTGATCACCTGCTAGAAGACATATGTTTCTGAAAAAATTTGATGCACAGCTTTCACAAAAGTCTCTCTGTGTAGTTGTCAGTCAGTATTAAATGTCTGTTGAATTGGGAATTTGAGAGGGGAACAGTAAACTATATTGATTAAAGTTCCAAAAAGAAATTTTGTAATATTTTTACTGAAAAGCATAAGCTATAATTGGTCATGTCACCATTTACATATTCAGCAAAAATTACAATGCCTTCAACTGTAGATAAAAGCAACATTTTCTGGAATACAGCTGTGGTCATATATTGGGAACCTGCCTAAGGATGACTCTTATTCCAGAAAAAGGTCCATTATTGCTAGTTCATATAGTATCATTTTTCACTGGATTTTATAAGTCAGATTACAGCTTGTTTACATAGCCACACACAATGTTTCTGTATTAAAATCAAAATATTATAAGATATTTAAAACTCTTAGGAATACTAACTAGTATTTTTACTTCCAATATTAATAAGGCTCAGTATCACAGTAAGCATGTTTGTTGTCCATCTTCTTCTTACAGGATCATAATACTGAGTAAAGAAAGAGGATTGTGTATATACATGCAGGTCTTATTATAGAAGCCATGTACAGGTTTTAAAAGAACATGTGGCAGCAGTCTATTTTCATCTTCTCAGAAAAGTCAAAGGGAAATAGTTCTGATATTTTTGTGTATGGTTAGACATTCAGCTAATTAAAGCTAGTGTGTAGGAAGATTTGCCATAATGTTACTGTAACTGTACTAGTAAAGTAAGGAAGTTTTGAAACATATTTGAAACATTTTGAAATATTTAGATTATTTAGATTATCTTTCCATACAGAAATTAACATGATCGAAACCAATGCTCTCAGTTTTTTCAGAATATAATTTTTTTAATCAATAACTACATTTCAAAATCCCTTTCACCATCTATAAGTGTTCATGTATCTGCATGTGTACATGTACACGCGTGGTCACTTGGTCGACTGAAAACTTCCAGACCGTTATTAAAGCAGAGTTTGAAATGTATGTTTCCTGTACAGGAAAAAAATATTTCCTTTGGCATCTCGGGGACAGTGTAAAAACATCCACTATGTGAAAATTTTTGTTAAATCTAACTCAAACCACTATTACAGAATCACCTTGCTAAAAAGGTTTGGGACTTCCTTTGTGCCCATTCAGCATGTTACATGGCTGAGGACAGCGGTTTGCAGTAAGAAATATTCCTTACTTGACCCTGAAGTGTGAAATGCCACTATGCGCTGATTTCCATAGCTACTCATTCCCATCTGAGTAAATTAATTAACTAGTCGCTGTACTACAGAAAGTCACATTTTCTTTGAAATGCTAGGACTCATCTTTCTGTAACCGGTTACCAATTAAAGCAATATTTTACTTGGTATTAATTCCTCATTAACCAAATTTGTTTTCCTTTCACCCTGTGTTACTTCTGTGCATAACTACTGATATGACCAGCTATGGGCTTGTAGCCAGATAGTATTATAGGGAGTGTGTAATAATAATAATACACACTATATTAACAGATGTTATATCAAAGAATACCCTTCATTAAAAAGATAACAGCTAGTACAAAGAATGTATCCTTTTTTAACCTTAAGAAGCTCACAATAATAATAGTTTATGTCAATGAAACAGAGTAAATGTCTGCACTGATGTTTCATTTACTCTATAGAAATCTTAATTCTGGAAAAAAGCACTTTATAAACTCAGTGCATTATTTTGTGATGAGTATTGTGGGTGTTTCCACATGCAGTTTCGTCTTCCAAGTAGGCAAGTGGGAATCAAGATGCTTTTCCTGTTCCTGTCCCTTTGAGCCTAATCCTGATCTCACTGATAAGAGCTGGAAAATTGCACAGTATGACCTGAGGGAAAATTGCTTATGTCCATGTTTCAAAAGCGCTCACTGTTTTTGGATGCCTCAACTATTTACTCTCGAAAGTTTTGCTTCTGTGTGAAAATTTGTTTTATGCAATTTTGCAGTCAGGCAGTTTGCTTTCACTCCTCAATATTGCATGTAATGCATATTCTTAATGTTTTGCCACTTTCTGAAACTAAGGCATTTTGCCTTTCTCAGTTATAGGTCAGAAGTAAAAGCCAGACAAGATGTGAAACCTGATATCCGGCAACCTCCATTTACAGACTACAGGCAGTCCTCAACGGACTACCGACAGCCTCCGCTGGACTACAGGCATCCTCCGGTGATGGATTACCAGCAGCCACCACCTCTCGACTACAGGCAGCCGCCCTTGATAGATTACAGGCAGCATTCGCCCGACACCAGGCAGTACCCTCTGTCAGAGTACAGGCAGCCCCAGGTACAAACTTAAATACTTACAGCACTCCTAAACAGAAAGCATTAGGTCTGCAGGGAGAGATCATGTATATTGGTAAAAAAAATGACATTATAGAAGAAAAAGGCACCTTCATTGTTTTTACTCTGAGTTACTATTTCTCTGTAGAGGAAATTACTTCAAAACCACTAATATTAATGAAGAACTATGTGATCTGTCAAGTAATACTACATTTATGATTGTGTGACTATAATGTTAAACAAAAGCTGTTTTTAAGGTATTGGAGAGTTAAAATAAAAGTACTAAAATAAGCTGCCTTTGCACCAGCAGAGGAATTCTTTTTATTCCTAGGAACATCATACAATCAAACTGTCATCAAATGGTGGATGTACTTAGGTCAGACTGCATTTCTACAGCATTGTTGAAAATGAAGATTTTACCTAATCTGAATAAATAAATAAATAAATGTGAATCTGGACTTATAAAATTACATTTCTGTTGGTAGTAGTCTGGATGAGGAGAAACTAGCTTGTGCAACTAGTTTCTTTGACATCAGGTATGATCTTACAAATTCAAAGAAATAAACCTTAGATGAAGAGTTATGTTACCTTGGACAAGACTCTGCTGATGACAAATATTTACTGACAGCTGTGAAGGTTTGAGGATTTAGCCCAAAGTTCAAACTTTTAAAAAAATCCTCCTTTCTCCTTACCTAAAGGCAGAAAAAAACAGAGGTCAGAAAAACATTAAATAAGAGAATGTAAACTTCTGAACGCTATACACTGGAACCATATCTAGATGGTTTCTATGTCCGTATTTTCAAAGCCAGACACATAAACCGTACCAATGAAAATATCCAAATTCTTAAATGGGATCCAAAGAACCCTGTGAAAATTTTATGCATTTCAGTATCTAAATAGCACATCCCTATCCCCATGCGCGTACCCTATAAGATGCTTCTTAGCGTCTAGGGAGATGCTTAGACTGCCTGTTTCTCACCATCTCCAGTTTAATTCTCTAACCACTGGTCTGCACAACCCAAACTTGCTCTCATTTTCCTCCTGCTCCCATGGCTCTTGCAATCCTGGCTGCCAATGGATCAAAAGCAACAGAGCAAGTCCCCACCCAGTCCCCTCTACGGGGTTCGTCGTTAGGGTCCACCAAGGAGAAACTGGAAAGATGAATCTCAGTCTTTGCAGGACACAGAAAGGGTGAAGCTCAAATCTCTTACTTCCCACCCTCCTCAAGGCACATGTTTTAACCTAAGTGACGAGAATTGCTGTACCTTGTGCCTCCATGCAGTCCAGCCTGCTGATCGTGTTAAGTTCTGCTGGGAATTTAGGAGGTGTCTCTCTTACTAATTTTTAGTTGTGATGATGCTTGTACAGGAACTGCCTGCTACCTCACTTGCCAAATCAGCACTTCTTGCATAGACATAAACACTTATACTCAGGTACCATGAAAATATTGAGGGTGAATATGGAAACCATCTAGAGAGCTTTTGGTTCCAGGCAACTGCTGGATGATGCCCTTTCAGGGTGGTTTAGACTCAGGCATTTACATTTTGCTAAAGTTTCTTCTCAGAAATGGCCAAAGTCTGTCAGTATGGAAGTATACTTTGAAGGTCCCTTTGCTTACCTCAATTGGATAGATGCACTTTTGAAGAGATGTATTTTAAAGTTTTCTTGAATGCATACCATGACATTCATATGGTTAATTTTCTTTTATTTTGTACTTGTCTATACAGGACTTTGATTATTTCACCGTTGATTTGGAGAAAGGAGCCAAAGGGTTTGGGTTTAGTATTCGAGGAGGAAGGGAGTACAAAATGGATTTGTATGTGTTGAGGTTAGCAGAAGATGGACCAGCAATAAGAAATGGAAGGATGAGGGTAAGTAAAATATATTGTAACAGTTTTTTAACCTTTACAGATATGTCTGCTGATGGGGTTTTTTTCATCCCTGATCAAGTTTTAAAGAACCAATGCCAAACACCTCTAATAATATAGACTTGTCCTGGAAGAGCTGAAGAAATTACTTGAAACATATAGTAGGTCTGTGTAGTTTCTTTGTGGAATAAATTACTTCTTGTTGATAGTAGCTTTTACTGTGTTATATATTTTTCTCCTTATTCTTTCACTCATATCTAAGCAACTTAAAGATCTGACAAAGAGTTTGGTATTTCTTTGATAATAATATCAGCATAATTAACAATTATCTTTCTAATCACAAAAGTAAAGTGATAGCTATGAAACGTAAGACCTGGTCTGTGTTATTTTACTAATTTAATCAAGTTGTCTTCATAGTGTTTGCTAAGTTTTTTTATTGATATTATTCAATCTTGTTTGTAGGGATTGGCTTTGGTTATTTGTCTGAATAGTTCTTAATGCATTTGAGTCCTGTACTTGTAGAAATGATAATAATACCACACCCAAATACTGAATCTAAAAGCATTCACTTAAGAAATTCCAAGATTAAAAAAATGTATGTTCTGTGTAGGAAAAATAACCTAATAAAAATAGATGGGTTTAATCTGTCCAGTTGTGCTAAAGAAGAGGCATAAACTCATCAAGGGTTGCTGATACCTTGCAGAACAGTGAGTACGCAAAAAGGAGAAGGAGAAAACATTGATGAAAGAGACTACCAAGAGTCAACATAAAAAATGTGTTTACATATCTAATTAGTGCAGCCTTGTTGAACCAATATTTAATTATAAAGATGGTCAATGGAAATTGTGTTCTGTAGAGTAGTAGTAACAGATTTTGCAAATGTCATGGTTGTTACACAGATTCTGTTTCACGACCCTAACAATCTCATCAAGTTTGACTTCATATTGAAAGAGCATTGTCATCGGTCTAAATATACAATCAGAGACCTTCTGTATATAACTCAGGAGTTTTAGTATGCTTCAAATCACTCTTAATTTGCCCGCTTTGTAGAATTTTAGAAGTCAGTTAGTCCTCAGTCATACCATGGAGTGCAAACCCTTGGCACTGGGAGCTTGCGTAAGGGAGCAATGGCACAAGAAGTCCCTGTGACGAGGAAGCCAAGCAGGCAAGTAGGCAGGCAACTGGTAACTGAGAAATACTCCCACAATATTGGTTGTGTGAAACATAGGTGAATTAATACAGCAGCTAGAACTTTAACTCAAGAATATCTTCTCTGGTGAGTGTTTTCATTTTCCTTTACTGTAGCACTATCACAGTCAGTTGTTCTTAATGAAAAGCCGTAAGTGAGATGTACATTATCAGCCATAATGTGATTAAAGATGAGGAAAATGTTGTGCTTTTAATAAGCTCTGGAATGATATATTTGGAAACATATGGCTAAGATTACAGAACAACAAAAGGACGATGCCTTTAGAGAGGGTTCATTTCAAATAATAACCTGTATTAGGCAAAAAACTAATCTATAAAAATGTGTCCATCATTTGAATAAACTAGTACCACAGAATAAAGTTAGACTATCCACTCTGTGAATAACCTAAATATACAAAGTGTGTAACAAAAATACACAGCTTTTTTCAATTTTGTTAGAAAAAGTACAGTATCTTATAACAAAAAATATTAATATATTTTCTAAAATAACTTATTTTAAAGCTTTTTTGTTCATGTGGCTACAATACACAGCCAAGTGTTATTCTGGCCAGATAGTTGTAACAGGTTTTGTTCTCCCCTTTTAAAAGTGTCATTCTTTGGAATCAGTTTTATCCCCCAGCCTTGTCACCGAGTCTTGTGTTGTATTCTCCTGTTTAACAGCCATTTTAACATGACAGTCACAAATGGGTTTGGAACTTGCAAGACTTTTATCTCCAGTGACCTGTAACTGATGGACAGCAGAAGCTCAAGAAAGAGCTTCTTCAAAACAAAAGTAGAAAAACAAAATAAAAAATAGTGATTACTGAAAGGAATGGAGAGCAAAGGAAGCAGAGTTCTGTACCCATATCTGCTTTCCTAAGTTTACATCTGCTGTTAATAACACGGGTTCATTCCCATTTCTTGGCTGGGACCACCAGCCTGCTTGCTGCAGTTCCGTATCTGTTTCACAGATACATCTCTATAGCAAAATATGCAAAAATCTGTTCAGTGCTTCTTGCTTCATATACCATCGTCTTTAAAGATCAGATTCTCTGATCCTAGGCTTTCAGCACTGGGGATAGTAAACCATGCTTATGTGGTAGGATCTTATCAGGAGCATTTTCCAGCTAATAGTTCTTCTCATGATCTACTTATCTCCATTATTGGTTTGCTTCCTTTTTCCTCCTCCTTCAACAGCCTTCTTTGGTTTAACTGAAGCCGTACAGAAAAACATGAAGCAGATAACACAAGGTGCAGATCATTCTTATAGAAAGAAATAATGCACGTAACTCCACCACTATTCCCACTCACCAAGCCAAGAAAAGAAAAATTAAACCAGCTAAGCTGTTGAAAAAAATAGATCATGTAATGAAACGTTACCTGTAAAGCATTTAGATGTAGTAAGTATTCCGCAAATAACATTTTGTTGTCAGTCTAGTTATAGCCAGCAAAAGCCCTGATAAAGGCACATTCCTATTGATATAAATCTCCCTACTTTACAGAAATAAATAAAAGAATGTAAAGTACTTTAAAGTAATAGAGCTACAGCTATACTAGTGGGTTTATAAATTTGTATAATTGAAGCAATGCGACCTCCAACTGAAGACATCTCCAGATAGGCAAGTCAAAGTCTGCATGTTGTACTCTGTTAGTGGGCACTGCAAAACCGTAGTGATGGGATGAGCCCAACAGCTATATTCTGCTTGGAGAGGTGCTAAAAAATGTGAAAGTCTATCAGCACACATTCAAAAGATTCTGAGGTCTAAATATATTTAAAAGTGTTATGAGTTACAGATGCAGAGCATAAATTTAAAGAAGTAAAAGCTAAGATTATAGGAAATCAGATGTAAATAAAGAACCGGTATGGAACTCTCTCTTGTAAAAGAAATTAGAGTAGATCCACTACTGAGGAAGGTAAGTATGAAAGGAATACAATATACCAATAACAGGAGCAAAGAGAAATTGAACAAAAAGGCAATGATGAAACATGAAGATGAACATGAAGAAAGTGACACCAAAATCAGGGCATCCTTTTGACGTTTTCAGTTTGATCTTCAGGTTTTTATGAACTCCATGGAAGCTTGGGAGAGAACAGACTCATAGAGCAAGTGATGGTCTTCCACTGGCCCTGCCAGAAGTGTCTGGATTTGAAAAGATTGATGGAAGGGGGAAAAAGGTTTAATGAATTTTGTTATCACATCACCATTTCCAATCAGATGTCCTGGTCTTCCTTCCCGCTGGGAATGGCATGCTAGGCACTTTGTGTTTTTACTGGAAACAAATCCACTGAGGACACCCCATTTTAGGATTATAAGATCTAAACTAGTTTTCAATTGCCCTTCATGACTGATGGAGCTTTCTACTTTGATTTTCTGTGGAATTGTTCTGGGAACCAGAAAGGTGGAAGACTAGTGAGTTGATGTCATACAGAGTTCCATCAGTCTCACCAGCATATTGCTTTTCTACTCAAGGATCCCTTTCTACCAATCTATGTAGACGCTGCATTACATCTTAAGGTTCAACAAATTATTCCCCTAAAAACAGTTTTAAAACAGGCTTATTATACTGTTCTTATTAGTGGCATTTTTACATGCACTGAGACTTTTATTTGGGCTCATAGACTCTGCTTCTGCATAAAGCCCAAGCATACATCCTAGTTTAACTTGGATTCATCTGTCACTAGACATGAGAAGGAAATGTCCATCAAAGGACCCAGAAGTCTACAGGAAGAAGTGTTTCACATGCATCCTCTGCCTGCATGGTTGGTAAACTACTCTCAACCAGCGTTGGAGAGCCACAGCCATAATTGTCTAACTTCACATAAAACCGTATGTCAGGTCATATACCACAATTAACTTTGGCAGGATTTTACTGCAATTCGTGGGTAAGACATATGGAGGTTCATCGCAGAAGGCCTCTGTAGGGGGGACCTCACCGCTACACTGGAAGTAAATACAGCTCCCTCTTAATTCTGACAGCGGAGCAGAGAGCAAGCTACAACGGTTAATTCTGAAAAGCCTACCACAACAAGGGTTTACAGAACTTGAAACATGTGACTCAGAATACTTCCAGTAAACTAAGTGAATTTTTACAAAGAGCAAGATATCTTACAAATTAGGAGTAACGAAGAAAAGTTTCATTATATCTAAGGAAAAGACTATAAAAGAAAACATGACTATCCAAAACTTGAAATGGCAGATAGACTTGCTGAGAGCTCAGAGTTCTAAAAATTTATCTCCACCCTCCTTTCTTCTTCAGGATGAGGGAGTACCAGAAATATAACACTCTGTCCACACCATGGCAAAAAAGGACTGAAAAGGACCATGTCTGTGCTCTGTAAGACAGGGATTATTAAAAGAACCATGAGAAAAGTTTGGAGAATTATTAGTTCCTTTGATATGTTACCCTGAACTGGCAGAGGTCTGAGCACATCAGGACTCCATTTCTTAAGTAATCCTAACATCAGGAAAAAGATTTGAAACTAGTTGGTGATGGCAATATTGGAAAATAAAGCTGCAAGGCCTAGTCTCATGAATATGGTGCACACACTATCAGTCATAGTAGTATTGGGTTGAATCAGTTACCAGAGATGAGGGACGTAACACAACCAATGTCGAGCACAGTCCCCACAGCCTTTGAAGACTCAAACACTACTAGCAACAATTTTACAGGCCTATTTAGATAAGGCTCACGATAACTCATATTTTATTCTTGTCTCACGTTGAGGACAATGATTGGCAGAGCTCTGCCTGCAGATCTCTATCGCTTCCTGCCTTAGGGGTGGGGAACTACCGGCTGCTCTCAGGAGAATTGTT